ATGAAACTGTTCGTAAACTTCTAAGGAAAGCCGCCCACGCCACTACCGAATGGGCACTCAGCGTTGGTTTCTCTATTGCCCCAAACAAGTCCAAGCTACTTCAACCCTGCCATATACAGCATCGAAAACGAGGCCGAGCCATCAATATAGACAATGCTCCAATTCCACGGGTAAGAAAATGAAAATCCTTGGTGTTCTGGTAGACGCAAAGTTAAACTTCCTTCAACATCTTACATCCGTGAAGAGCAGCTGTAGAAGAAGGATCCACATCTTACGGATATCAGGATAACGGTTAAAGAGAAGCAGTCGAACCACTCTGGTAAAAGTGTGCTCTAAGGTTATCTCTAAGCAATTATTTGGATTAGGACTCACCAGCACCAGACCAACTTTCAACGAAGTAGTACGTCAAGCATCTGGTCATTCAAAGCTAGCCCAGTCATAGCCATTATCGCTGAATCCGGATGTCTTCCTTTTATGCTATCAATTATACAACGTCTTTCACAATTGGCAGTGCGACTCGAGCTTGAGCTTGAGCTTGATTGACCGCCCACGGTTGCTACTCTGTTATTGCCAGATCAGCTGTAATTACACAGAGAACCAAAAGACGATGCTTGGGACTAGCAATCATCCTCAATGTGTGAAAACTGGTGATCTGATCCGGCCGCGCCCGAACACAGGTCAAGAAAGGAATGGGAAGGATTGTGTTGAAATGACACTCGCTTTGATGGAAGCCGAGAACACCTCTGCACTTCCACGAGGAATCACTGGGATGTTGGATAAGAGGGTTGGGTTTGCAGCAGGGTTCGTTTTGGTAAACGATAAGCTGAATTGATGTCCTAACGATCATATAATGCGAACGAGCTTGGGACTAAACCCACGGTCTTCTGCTCAGTAAGCAAAAACGTTTGCCACTAGGCAGACGAGCACCTTTTTAATCACCGAATTACTGTTATTACCATGTAGTCATATTAACAAATAAATCAATTGACGAATCTTGAATGTGGATGGGCCTGAGATTAGACTCATGATGTTCTGCTCAGTAAGCAAAAACGGTTGCTCTAAGGCCACCGAGCCCCTCATATCACATAATACCGTTGCTCGAATTTTTGTATCCATTCAAACCCTAAACCAACGACAACAACGAGTTTTGCAAAATACACGATACACAAGCGATTTTACCATAAATCTCTTTGATATGTAAGGACCTGGGACCGCGTTTTTCTGCTCAGTAAGCAGGCCACTTTCACAATTGTCAGTGCGACTCGTAAAGAAAAACTCAAAAGCAGTCTGTTATCCAGTGGTTAAACGAATTAAAGATCTATTTCAGCTATCTACAGCATTATGTCTTCCGGAGGTGGGCAGCATTCTAAGGGCTACTGATAGTTGGGCACTAGAGCGGGCACAACCAAGGAAATCGTCCTACCAAAGTTTCAAGAGTTTATCACAGATCGTTGTCACTCACACACACAAGTTTTTACCGATGGCTCCAAAGATGGTATCTTCACCGGCGCTAGAGCGATTACCTGTAGCGACGAATTCAGCTACCGTTACCCTAACATTTGTAGTGTCTTCTCTGCTGAAGCCTTTGCGCTTATCACTACTGTTTTAAAACTTTGTAAACAGCAGGAAACAATCATATTAACCGATTCTACTAGCTGCCTCGATGCACTACGTGGTGGTCGGTCTAAACACCCTTGGATTCCATCGCTTAAACAACCCGATGAGAACGAAGTTCAACTCGACACCCCAAGCAACACAGAAAACATCTAAATTTTTTTTATTTCTTTAAGTTGCCCATAAATCCCTTAAATGGTACAGGAAATACATCTTGATACGAAACTGTTTCAAGTTGCTTACTTGATTTACTTTAGGTCTCAATAATGAAACTCAACTGTGTCAATGTACTGCTTGGATGAACCTTCAAATCATGCATCAAATGGGAGGAACAAACATGTTACACTCAGATTAGTATGATGTTATTTCCTAGATGATATTGTATGGAACACTTGAGCAACAAATCTAACTTGTGTTATGTTTGTTGAATGAGAAATCCATAAATCATTATGTATATTATATTATACATTTTTATATTATATTTGATGCAACAGAGTGTGAATTACATGCTTTTTTGTACCTATTGAGCCACTATTTTGAGATGTTACTAAAAAGTACACGAACCAAGATGTGTTGAAGAACCTAATTGTGATCTTGTTCCAATTAAATCATAGGTGCTTGCACTGCCACTTCAAGTTTTCTAGGAAGTTAATCTCGGGCCCTATTGCGATTTTAGGAATTAAATTTGCATCACCATATTTGCCGAAATTTGCACAGCCGAGCTCGGTAGAATAAAACTAAGTGTGTAGTTGTTTGACAATTTTCTTTTTGCTCGAATGTTGTTCTACCGTTTGTGTTGCGTGAGAGAGACGACGGTAGAGCATGAGTGTATGAATACAAACAGACTGTCGCGCACGACATCGATGCGAGTATAGTAAAAAAAAAAGTCAACTGTTTCAACTCCTGATCGCGAGATACCATCCATATAAGATTTTGCTTCGTGGCGCAAAGGTGTTCAGAAATACAAGGTTTTCAATACAATGGATAGTTTATGATAAAATTGACTCACTAGATGGCGCTAAAACGGATGGATATCTACAGATCTGGCTTATATGGATGGCTCCCGTCATGAGCAAAGTTGTTCAGAAGGACAAAACCTCTTCTGAGGTAAAGAGTTTAGTTCACAACTCACTTACCACGCAGCGCTAGGTCAGACTAAAAAAAAATGGATCAGATGGACAAGACTTATCATAGCGTAATAAGTTTAGTTCAGAATTCACTCACAAGGCATCGCTAATGTGACATTCATATTGAATTGTTTGCTCTAACCTAACATATGTACTAAATAGAAGGTTACTGTCTTGGGTAAAGTTGTTCAGATGAACACAATCTATCCATAGGTCATGAGTTTAGCTCAGAATTAATACATCAGATGGTGCTAGTGTGACATTCGTTTTAAATTGTTTGCCATCTTGACTAGAGAGAAGTTTTCTGCCTTAAGCAAAGTTTTTCAGATGAACAAGAACTATTTCATGGTAGCAAGTTTAGCTCAAAATAAACTCACCAGGCGGCACTAGTGTGACTTACAATTTGCATTGTTTGCCCTAACTTAACATGTGGACTGGATAGAAGATTTCCGTCTTGGGTAAAGTTTTTCAGATGGACAACACCTGTCTTATGGTAAAGCGTTTAGTTCATAATTCACTCACCAGTAGTTCTGGTGTGACATTCATTTTGATTTGGTTGTCCTTACGTAATATATGGACTAGATAAAAGATTTCCGCCTTGGGAAAATTTGTTTAGATAAACAAGGCTTCCTTCTACTTTGGTTTTTTATTTCGTCGTTGATTGGACTTTCGACGGCTCTCAACTATTCTAGATGTACCTCCACACTTGTCGATTTGGAACTTTCTAAGCCTGTACTATTTCTGCATTAGTATACTATTAGGCAAGTACAATCATATTCTATGCCCAGGAAACTCGAGAAATGTTTCAGCCTAAGACATACATAGGCCAGCGAACAGAACAGAACTGCAGTTCTCTCGCTTCCTCTTTCCACCCTTTCTGTGTGGGTCGAGGTTGTTCGCGCAGCAAGAAAGGTTTCGAATGTAAGCGCAGTTCGCTCAACCCAAATGTATCCATTATGCCTAATATTGCTAGGATGAGTATTTTTGTGTCACTGCAGACGTCTCACTCGTTTAACCAAATAACTCCTTTCAACATACATTTTTTTTTTTCCTTTGGTTTGTTTTTTCCGTTGATCTTGTTTTCCGTGCTGAGCACCAATGCTACCGACGTGCCAGGAAGGCAGCCCCACACCTGGACCCTACCTATCGACCCATCAACTCATGAACCGGGGACCAACGGCTTTACTTCCCATCCGAAGGAAGGCGTGATCAGAGATGTTATGCCTCAGAACATCCCGGCGGCGCCGACTGGGATTGAACCCAGGCCTGCTGGGGTGATAGGTAATCACGCTTACCACTACACCACCGGCGCCGTTAAATTTCTACATACATGAACCATTGTAAACCAAATTGTATAAAAGGAAAATGCATTTGAATAAACGAAGTACCCTGCAATCCAGCCCCGTTGACTAGTCCCGAGCCTAGCACCGCTTCCTCTCAACAATCAACGAGCCCTTAGCACTCCCGCTGGGTATTCTACAACCGAGCAAGCGACCCCCAGCCGCCAATCAGCCCAGCATCGCCTCGCTGCTGCAGCGGCCCAGCTGAACCAAGGTCGTTCCACTGCCCCTGGTTTATCGTATGCCAGTGCTGTGTGAGGTGAGTCCGTCGACGATTCCCCATTTACTTGGAGGAACTTGTAACACTCGTAGCAGAGGTCATCATCATCCTGTGCACCTGCAAGACCCGATCTGAACAGCTTCATGCTGCCCTGTCCCTTCTTACTAAGTATGGACCGTGAATATCGAACTGCTTGACTTCCTTAACGCCAAGGAGATCGACATTGCCATCATCACTGAAACCCATCTAAAGCCGAAAGTCAACATCTTCCTATCGGACTTTCGGCTCTTGAGACTCAACAGAACCAGTACAAGAGGAGGGGATGTAGTCGTTGCTGTGAGGCATAACATCAACTGCCACCTGCTGCCGAACTTCCAACTCAAAATTATCAAAGCCATCGGGGTTGAAGTCGGCACATCGCTTAGCCCCATCACCATAAGGATGGGTCGGCAGCGAATCTTCGTTGAGATATTATAAAGCTGACTTGGCGGCGGGAAAAATACATCATTGCTGGCGACTTTTTTTTTTCCTTTGGTTTGTTTTTTCCGTCGATCTTGTTTTCCGTGCTGAGCATCAATGTTACCGACGTGCCGGGAAGGCAGCTCCCACACCTGGACCCTACCTATCGACCCATCAACTCATGAACCGGGGACCAACGGCTTTACTTCCCTTTCGAAGGAAGGCGTGATCAGAGATGTTATGCCTCAGAACATCCCGGCGGCGCCGACTGGGATTTGCTGGCGACCTGAATGCCAAACAACAAGCTTGGGGCAAAGTCGGCGCAATCAAAACGGTACCATTCTGAACAACGATCTGCAGGAAGCGCAGTACAACATCTTGAGTCCGGAAGCTTCCACCCGGTTGAGTAGGCCCAGTGCTCACGCCACCATCGATATCTACATCAGCAACATGGGTAACATATCGCAACCTGTCGTGTATCTGGCACTCAGCTCGGACCACTATCCGGTGGTGGCTGAGGTAGGTTCTTCAGTTAACAAGTTCCATCGGGTAGATTGGTCGCAGTTCCAACACTGCATTGACATCAGTATCGACTATGACGTCCACCCGGAAACGACTGACGACATCGACCGGTGTCTGCGCTCCATCGATGAAGTGATTTCCCGGGCCAGGGAGCAACATATTCCAGTATCCAAACAGGTGAATAATACTCTGAACCTTGACAGGCCCACTAAAGACCTCATTAGACTCCGCAACACGATTTGTAGGCAGTACCAGCGTACTAGGCTGTCTAACCTGAAGACCAATTGCAACCGTTTGAACAAAATCATCCAAGCCAAGAACACCGGATCACAGAAATATCGATTTTGCAAACAAGATTCGCTCTCTCCCAGATTGTGCTAAGCCATTTTGTAAAATGGCAAAGATTTAAAAAAAATAAACCAAGGCCCATCTCTCCCTTTCCTCTCCTAATCAGAATTCGGATCCATCCTTACTCATAACCCCAGTTGAAAAGGCCAATGCTCTTGGTCAACACTTTGTGAATTCACATAACTTTGGTCAAGCCATGGTGAGTCCCTACGAGCCTGCAGTATCGGAGGCAATATCAAGAGTCGCTACCACCCCCGTAGTTGTCCCTAACGAAAGTCGAATATCGGCTGATGAGCTGATAGCAGCGATTAAATCAACCAAGAACATGAAGGCCGCTTGTGTCGATGGAGTGGTAAACCTCGAGTTGAAAAACTTGACTGCTGTCTTCTTCAATAAGTGTTAGGGGCTTGGCTACCTTTCTGCAAGCCTAGTGGCAAAGACCAGTGCCGAAAGCCTCTTGTCATCTATCTCAAAGCTATTCAAAAAGTTGATACTCAGCCGTCTGCTGCTGATTTCAAATGATAATAACATCTCTCTCAAAGAGCAATTTGAGTCTAGGAAAAGCCACTCTACCTTCCACCAACTCGCACGGGTTACTAACATCATCAAGCGGAACAAGTCCGTTAACAATACATCTGCCATGGCATTGTTGGACGTCGAGAAGGTGTTCGACAATGTCTGGTAGGATGGCCTAGCGTACAAGCTGCATCGATACAACATCCCGATCTACCTTGTCAAGATCATCAAAAACTACTTGTCGGGCAGATCATTCCAGGTCTTCTTAAGCAATTCACCTTCTGATACGTTCACCGTTCCCCAGGGTAGCCTTCTTGGTCCTATCCTCTTCAACATCTTCACGTCAGATGTTCCTCCCCTTCCGGGTGGTGGTATTTTGCCAATGTTTGTGGATGACACTGCCATCATCTATAAGGGTTGAGTGATCCGTGCTCTGACGAAAAAACTCCAATCAGGCCTGGATGTTCTGTCCGACTATTTCAAAAGCTGGAAGATTTGTATCAATGCAGCTAAAACACAGACCATACTACTTCCGCACTCCAATTCACCTCGGCTTGTCCCGCCTGGTAACTTAAAAGTCCACCTTGATAATACTCCCATAGAAATCATCTACCTTGGTCTCACCCTTGATAGCAAGTTGTTGTTCCGTTCCTATGTGGACAAATCATCCACCAAGTGCAACATCTTGATTAGGTCGCTCTATCCACTTATCAAAAGAAAGTCCATCCTTTCCATTAAAAACAAGCTTGCCGTCCACAAGAAAATCATCCGCCCCGCCATTGAGTACGGAACACCAATATGGGAGAGTTGTGGTAAGTGCCTTCACCTCAAACTCCAAAGTATCCAGAACAAGATCCTTAGGATGATCCTCAAGAGTCCCCCGTGGACTCAAACATTCTGAGATCCACCGCCTGGCTGGTCTTCAGTCACTGGAGGAGCGCAGTACGCTCATCCTCGAAAGGTTCAGAGACGCCTGCCTGAGATCAAATCACGAGATCATCCGCAATCTTGCTAATTAGGTTAAGTTATTAGTAGTTAGGTAGGTTATCAAATTATTTTTAAATTCAAGCAAAACACACCCCAAAAGGGTATCTTGTAAACTAGTTGAAAAACGTAAACATGTAGATTAGAATAACAACAAAGATGGCCTTCAGGCTAATAATAAATTGGAATGTATGAACAATGTAAAATCATAATGGATGGAAAATAAACGTAATTTTACTGCTTACTACTGTGACTATGGCATGACCAGACACTCCCGGGTAACTAGCTCAGTAGCATGAGACCTCTGAACTGTGTCGCAGGGCCGGCATGTTACTGGGTATTCGGAGGGGCTACGCGGACAAAGTATGAAACACAGGAATATTCACATTTTCTAAAACATGTATTGCCCTTTTCTGTGGCGTGTGGGGTGTGGGGTTTCACATATATGTGGCGTGTATGCGAGGGTTTAAAATGTAGTACTCACTGCTGCAGCGGAATCTCCTACGGCGTCGGGACGCTGGCGTTGGCCCACACGGCTGCTCCTGCACTACCGTATGGCCGGAAACTTGTGGCGCGGGCTGCAGACAGTGTTGTTGCAGCTTTGGGAGAATGGCGGATCTGGTGGCGTTCCACCTTGGTCGAGCCGAGACGGGACCCTCCTTGACAATTAAGGCCACCGGTCTGAGGGAATCGTCCCTGACGGACGATCGAGTATCATTTACTATTAGGCTCGAAAGCCATCTCGGAAGCCGAGCCGTGTAAGACCGTTTTATATATGGTACGAGGTCCTGACGGAGGCAGTCCAACATCCCAGAAACCCCACAAGGGGGGGGGGTACACTAAAAGGCACTGCACTTTACGATACCAGTCTACACGGACGCCTGATTACTTCTGCCAATTAGAAGGTTTTTTCTTTTAGAAGACGGCCACTCGCATGCCTTTTGCCGATCATTCTCCATTTTTAGCTTATGACTACGATTTTCCTCCCTTTAGTATCGTTCGAGTGTTTTTGCAGCGGTACTAACCCTCTCGCTGCTGTGTGTTGCCTTCTGTCTTCTATATTAAAATACGTGAATTTTCCAAACAACAACAACTCATACAAACGAAAATCCACGGATTGTAACCAACTGGTTACACTACAAATAAACGAAGGATTCTTATTCCAAAGCTCGACCCTGCTGGAATAATTCTATGCAGCCTATCAACTCTTTGAAATCAAGTTCAAGTCTTTCTCTGCGACCATGCTGGATTTCGCATTGAGTAAAGAAAGTCCTAAGTCTGTACGCGCGCGAACTCTTTAGAACGCACGTAAACAAAAGGCATGCCAAAACGGGAATTCAACCAAATCAGTTCCAGCATGATCTTGCTTTATAGCTGCGCCTTAATAGACTGAGCTAAGAGAGATTTCCACGAACAAGACCCATTTTATGGAACAGACTTCTATCTAGTCAAGATGTTAAGTTAGGGCAAACAATTCAACATTTCAACAATTCGCTATGACCTTGCTCGCTCGGTAGATCTATTGTTCGATGTGATGAGCTAATTGTTTTGTCTACCCGAGTGTGGTGTGTTCGAAGAAGAAAAGACACCGAAAACACGATCTTGCAGTATTTGTGAAGGGTGGGCGTGAAGGAGATATGGAAGAAGTGTTGATCATTCACACTTAGAAAAATTCATGTAAATTTAAGTGTTTTGAGAGTGACATATACGAGCGTCAATTTTTACTTAAAATTGGGTCATAATAGACGCGAAATTCAGCTCAATCAATCGTACTTGTTGTCGAGTAACGAACTTTTCAGTCTCGAAGCACTTAATTTGACATGACATGTTTGTTTATGTCTCATCCTTTATGTCAAAGATGAATTCCGTCACCTGTAATATTAGGTATTTCTAAGTGTGTATCGTGCAGAGGGTGTGCATGGCAGCTTCTGTCTAGATCGCCACAGTACGCCGAAGTAAAACAAATGCATAGAATCATGTTGAGTAAACTGCTTTGCAACCAAAACCAGTCATATAAAGGTAATATAAATTGTTGTAGATCATGGGTGTTGCTTGGGCGCTGATCTTGAGTTGATTTGGTGGGTGCGTTCCTGTTGAGGGGTATTCTTATGATTTTTTTCCATTGGTTTTACACGATGTGTAGCTTGGTTTACGGTAAGATGCGAGCGTCAAGGTTTTGTTTGTTTTTATGCATGATTTGTATTGGGTGAGAGGATCTATGTCGTGATCGCGATCGAGAATGTAGGCTTGGAAATTCACCAATTATATATTTGCTGTCATCTTTAGCATTAACGTTTTAATATTAAGTTAACTTTTTGGTTAACGGTGCTCATTACTGCCCATATACATACATAATAACGCTGGTAGTTGTTATAATAGATTTGGAAGTAGACGTTTGTTCGGTTTATGGATCTAAATTTATTGATGAGCGTTTTAGTAGGTTTTTATAAGGTATACGGTTTATTTAGTTTGAGAATCTTTCGGATAAGTTCGCTGGCGCCTATGACATAAATGGTAGAGAGATATCTGTGTTGGAATCTTGGAATTAGAGGGATCAGAGAACCTGCCTGAGTTCCTATATGAGTGGTTAGTCTGGCTATGCAAATACAAAGCTGACTTTGTTGACGAGAGCCTGCATTGTTGCTTAAGTCGACTACCGAACACAAGTAAATTTGATTCCCCATTACAATATTGGCTACACTTCTATGATTTACCAAGCCGAAGGCCATTATTGCTACACAATTTAAAAATCCAGGAATTGGTTGACATAGAAAGCTTTCAATTAAGAACTGTGGAATTTAATCTAGACCACTAAGTTGAGAACCTTTGGACGATGGAGAGAAAATCTCAAATACACCCTTGGTTTCCTTTTTTTAGCCCTACTTCGAACTGTTTACCCAATTGTAACACATAGTGCATATCATGAGAAATCGTCCCTCGTTCCACTAACTTTAGTTTTAAGAAAACTTTGATAAACAAAAATTGATCTTCGGCTCCGTGAAGCTAAAGCGAATGAGCTGTAACAAATAATCGAATTAAAAAAAGAAGAAGGGTCTGTGCCTAAGAGCACGAACGGAAGCTTGACGTAGGACCGCTAGTTGATGGAATAAGTGTGAAGAGCATTAAGTTCTTTTAATTGATCGATCATCTATTATCTTAACTCTTTCCGTTTATCATTTGTAGGCGTACCAAATTTGTAGTATTTTTTTTTTCAAAGAGAAAGTTGATGAAGAGAATCGATCAAAATTACTTGCACCCCTGCTTCCAAGTTTGGTTACAAGATTGCCACTTGTTGGCCTTAAAAGGGCCGTTTTGTTGCCAAAGGTGGTGATGATTTAACCAGTGTAGGTGACAGCATCACGGATCACATTTTCCAGGAACACCTTCAGCACACGTGTTTTCTCGTGGATCAGACCGGAGATACGTTTGACACTGCCACGGCGATCCAGACGATGGATGGCGGTTATCACGAAAAACCTTGCGATGACGCTTGGCGCCTCCTTTATCAAGACCTTTTCCTCCTTTGCCAGGACCAGTCATTGTTGCTTGTTGGGTAGAAGCGTGGACTACCTAACCTGCCACCACCTTCCTACTACTGCTATTGTGGCTTCTGCTGCCTGGTCACCACGCCGTCTGAAGCGAAAATGAGTTGAGGCTAGTAGTAGTAGTAAAATTATGTTTATTTCTGTTGATTATGATAGTGCATTGATTTAACATTTTAATTGATTAGCTTACCTGGCTCTTCATCTTTGTTTAATTTGATATTCTAATTTAATATTTACGTTTTTCAACTAGTTTACAGAATACCCCTTTGGGGGTGTGTTTTGTTTGAATGGAAAAAAAAGTGTTAACCTACCTAACTACGAGTATAACTTAACCTAACGTGCTAGATCACGTATGATCTGAAGATCTGATCTCAGACAGTTGTCTCTGAACCTTTCCAGGATGAATACTCTCCGTTCTTCTAATGTCTGATTTCCAGCCAGGAGGTGGATCTTAGAATTTCTAGTCCACGGGGGACTGTTTAGGACCGTCCTAAGGATCTTATTCTGGATCCCTTGGACTTTAAGGTGATGGCATTTGGCGCAACTCTCCCAGATTGGCATCCCGTATTCTATTACGGGAAGGATGATTTGTTTGTAGACAGAAAGCTTATTTTTCAGGGATAGAGTAGACCTCCTGTTGATGAGTGGATACAGTGATCTTATCAAGATGTTACACTTGGTTTTGGTTTTGTCAACGTGCTCCCAGAACATCAGCTTGCTGTCTAGTGTTAAGCCGAGGTAGACTACCTCTATTGGCCATTCCACCTTATTATTCGCCGACGGAACAAGTCTGGGAGATTTAGATACGGATCTTAGTTGAGGCTAGACAGCAGTGCTTTCTATATATTTTCAGGTTAAAGCAGAATGATGTACAACCAAGTGGTACTCGATTATGACGACTGTGTTTGGGAAGAACGTTTATTTCATGAAAACAGTAATAAAATAATCACTTATTTTTGTGCATTAGGCAATGCTTGACATTGCCTTTTTTTCAATAGAGTCTGGTTGACAATCATCAGTATTGTTATAGATGCGTAGACATATTTCTGATCGATTGGTGATAAAATTATTGAAATTGGTCCAGGGGCAGCTGAGTTATTAATGTTTAAAATCTTTCATGATTTTGTTTCCTGTTCCATTTTCGGTTGTCACAAAGTTCACCCCCATTATAGAAATTAAAGATGTAGTCCTACGTCAAAAAATGAGAGCTGACAACATGAACAGTGTAAAGCCTAGAAGAAGACACTAACAATAACGTCACAAGCCATCCGTGCACAACCCATTGATCGCTTCCCAGTCCCGCAGGGGATTGCAATTTGATAAACTGCCAACTCAACTCCATGTTTGGTATGGTACATGCTCAATGATCTGATAACGATGCTGATTATGTGAAACTCGCGTACTTACCTACACACATACCACCCCACCCAAATAGGCGAACGAGACAATCGGGTGTGGGCAGAGAGAGAAAGAGAGAGGTTGGCATCATTCGTAGCACAGCCAGCAGTAAGGACGTGGTTTCTGTTTCGCGAAGAAAGCGTAGATTTTCAGCATGCCAAAACTTAATCATCACGTGTGTGTGCTGTGCTGCAGTAGCACAAATACACACGTTTGGCATTCCACGAGACTTCACCACAGTCAGCGATTATTTCGAGGAAAATTAGTTCACATGGCAACTGATGAGCAATCACACCAGTCAGTGCGTGTAGGGTGGATTTACCTTTTATGGACCCTTTCCTTTAGTGGGCCAGTCACGGATTTATGCAATGTTATAGAAAATAACAATGTGTAACGGATGGTTACCTGTTGTTGGATTTTTTTAAAATGTAGTTCAACCGAATCGGTTGTTTTTACCTTGTTTATTTACATGTAGCTAAATGTGAGGTTAAACGTGAATTTCTTCTAAACGGATCAGCATAGAAACAAAATCAGTATGTTTATGCAATACTGAAGACAATTTACGTGTAGAAATTTTTTTTTACGTCCAACTTTTTTCATGATGTAAAAGAAAAAAAATGCTTTAAGAGTAAGTTTTCAAAAGAATCTATTTGGATTTATTTAGATTTTCTATATCTTTATCCAACATTTTAGAAAAATCAAAACGAGCCAAAAAAATAATTAAGTTTTCCATTGGACTAAAACAACTGCTAGGAAGTCCATAATAGGCAAGTTTATCCTATGTGTGTTGACGTGAAAAGGGGAGGGTATGGCAATTGGAAATAGGATCGTTTGTGGTTTTTGGGATGAAAGCTTGCGGTAAAACTAGCAACTTTCAATGAAGCGCTATGAACTGCATTAAATGGAAACGTGTTCGAGAGAATCCTTATTTTAGGCCACGAGACCAACCACATGGGTGAAGTTATTGATAATTGTGTGGTTTCTACTAGAATTTGGTGCGAGATTTCTTACCAATTTAATTGTGCATATGATTGGATGGATTGATAAAATAATTACTAAAGTAGAATGTAAGAAAATGAAACGAACTATATAAGCAACTTGCTATTTGCAGTATGCTCGAATAGCTCCAAATAGCTCCTTTGATTTGCGTAGTGATTGACCGAGCTCCTACTTGTTATTGTTATGCCGCGGATACACTTGTATGACCTGCTATTGGCATAAACATTATTTGTATAGTAATTTTGAGCACAACAACTATACACAAACTATACAAGTGTGACTATGGATGTGCTCATAATTTATTATAAAAATAATGCTCATAGTTTTGTCATCCAAGTATATTCGCGGCATTAGTTGCTACCGAGAAGTATCGAAATTTAAACACTTTGTCCACAAATATGGACTTTTTTTTAATGTTAAATGCACCGTAAAAAAATAAATGAATATCACATCAGAGAGAATACACTTAGTCATTCATCGATGCAAAATTTTCGTTTTAAGCGATATTAATTTGGGGTTATCTATAAACTACGTCACGGGTTTCAAGAAACGTAATAATTTGAATAAAAAGAAAAGGATCCAAAACATGAAAAACATATGTATATCCTATAAACTACCATTAGAACACACCATAATAGGAACGTCTACCAATAACTGGAACACCTACCCTAGGTGTGATCCATAAAATTAACATTTATTTGTCATATTTTCTTAAGAAGATTATTATAGAAGCTTCTTGTGGAACTAATTCTAGACGCTTGACTATTGACTAAACATTAGGAAATTAAAATTAGTCTAAAAAACACCGTCGCGAGCAGTCGACCGGGGGCGAACCCCGTATGAAATTATTGTTTTGTTTTAGTAAAAATAAATGTAGTGTTGTTGTTAATAAAATCAATGTATTGTTCTTGTAATAAACGGTATTTTGTGGATAAGACGTGTTGTGTTCTGCATGCGAGAAAAAGGGATTGGCCTACGGATGACGAAGGATTTGGCTCGGGATTTGGTTGGAGCAAGGAAGGATACGGACTGGAAAGGAAAGTTCAAAGGCAAGTAGAAGTCACCATCAATCGGTCGGGACGGTCCCCGAGCCGGATTTCTACTGCCGGTGGACTTTGGATTGGCCAAATCTCTACGATTTGACCAAGGTACGATAGAAGTGCGCCATCGTACGAGCACCAAACCGCCAGCCTCGTATGCCACAAAAGACCAATCGCCAGCCTTGAAGTGGATCAAAGGATTCGATCGCCATCGTCAATTACGTGAAAGGATCTATTGCAACCAAACAACATCACCTATTATTCTACATCGGGAAACCCACCATCGCTGAAAATCATCGACTAGTTGTGGAACAGAGAGGAAGGTTGCCATCGTCCTTCAACATAATCGTCTAGTGCAACCAGTTTCTACAAGTGGATATTGGCTCTACTCGGTCACTTTCGACGATCATCAGGATTGTAAGAACTGGTATATGTCCGCCGAAGCGACAAAATTTCCCAACTAACACCCACATTTTGACTTCTGTTATTGTTAGCGAATCGGCGAGTGCTTACGGACGCCGAAGTGGTGAACCAGTTCGCGAAGAACTTGGTTCCGGGCACCATTCGAGGAATTCGGTGGCGATTGTGGATGATTATGTTGCTACTTCCTTATGACAATACAAAAGACGGCATCACATCACGCTTTCAGGCTCGGGCATCGTGCAACGGTCATCTTGGCCAGGTAAATACATAAATACAGTATATTCCCAGCTGAAGCTGGAAGTTATTGATCCTACACCTAATAAATATTCAACATTTCGATGCTAGTTGGACTATTGGAGTCAATTCATTCACGAACGCAAGCCCTGAGGTTTTGTTTGTTTTCGGACTGCTACTTTACATACTGCGTGACGTTCAGCACCATCTGTAGTTCTCCAGGTGAGAATAAGTATCTGTCCTGCCAAAGCAGGCTCTCTTGTGATACTACATTGGTACATTCCTCCTTCGCTGCAGTGGATTTCGATACGATCTACCGACATGTTACCGTAAGGCTTTACAACTTCGTGGTTCGAAAGGATAGTTATCGTGATTTTGAGGCAATTTGGATTCGGCTGTCGGCATAAACTGTCGTTTGCACAGGTTAGCTCTCTTAGCGTGTTTGCTCCGACAACAACCATGTCAACGAAGATTACCAGGTCAACCGACTCCTTGAAGGTGTTGAAGTCAAAACTCAAGGGTCTTCGAGCGTCGTTAAACAACATAAGTCAGTTCGTTAGGTATTATAAAGAGGGTACAACAGCTAGTCAGGTCAATGTCCACCTCGAACGTATAGATTTGTTGTGGGAGCAAATTAGTGAGACTTCTTGGGAAATCAAATCGCATGAGGACTACGAAGAGCAAGAAGGTGTCGAAAAGGAGCAACTGGAGTTCGAGAATCGCTACTACGATGCGAAATCGTTCTTGATGGAGAAGGCCAAGAAGTTCCAGGAAGAATCAGCACTAAACCAGTTAACACGGAGTGGGGACGCCGCCAGTCCACATGGTACAATGGACCGTGTAGGCCTGCCGCAAATCAAGCTTCAGACTTTCGACAGAGACATCGATGATTGGCTGAATTTCAGAGATCTCTACACCTCTTTGATCCATGAAAAGCCAGATCTTCCGGAAGTGGAGAAATTCCACTACCTCAAGGGTTGCTTAGCAGGCGAAGCTAAGGCACTAGTCGATCCGTTAAAGATCACTAGTAATAACTATCCGATTGCTTGGGAGTCGTTGCTAAAACGATACAACAACAGCAAATTACTGAGGAGGAAGCAAGTTCAAGCTCTAGTGAAACTGCCTTCACTTACCAAGGAATCGGTCACGGATCTCCACAGATTGGCTGATGGATTCGACCGTGCGATTCAGATAATGGATCAAGTCATCGAACCAGCCGAATACAAGGACTCTCGGCTGAATCCAGTCACTCGACGTGGCTGGGAGGAACACACGTCCGCTAAGGAGCAAGACACTCTACAGGACTTGCAGGAGTTCCTACAACGGAGAATTCAAATCCTCGAGTCTCTACCAAAGGCAGAACTCAAAAACGAGCCGCAACAACCCAAATGGAAGTCGTTTTCACCGAAGGTCAGCCACCACGCCGTACAATGGAATACCGCTAAGTGCCCATCGTGTACGGAGGTTCATGGACTACATACGTGCCCAGCTTTCCTGGAAATGTCGGTTCCAGCAGGGAGTCGTTCATTCGAGCACAGTCACTCTGCCGAAACTGTCTCAAGCGAGGACATCTAGCTCGAGATTGTTCATCAATGTTCTCGTGTCGCAACTGGCGAAGGAAGAAGCAGTAGAAATGGATCACCCAAGAAGGCCAATTCGGGTAAAAGTGGTAACTTGAACGATTCAAGTTCTGATCCCAAGGCAGCGAATGCCGCATCGGTTCAGATAGTATCGTCGAACACAGCACAGAGTCACACGGCGCAGGTACTTCTGGCTACAGCAGTTGTTGTGATCGAGGACAACCAGGGTTCTCGCTATCCGGCACGCGCACTGTTGGATTTCGGGTCGCAATGCAACTTCATCTCGGAAGATCTAAGTCAGCTGATGAAGGTCTCTAGTGAGAAGGTGGATGTTTCGATATCGGGTGTTGGACAAACCGGAACGAGAGTCAATCGCAAAATCCAAGCTGTCGTCAAGTCTCGGTTCTTGTCATACTCTCGAACGATGGAATTTCTCGTCTTGCCGAAGGTCACAGCTTGTCTGCCTACTTCTACAGTGCAGGCAAATGGATGGGACATACCGGCAGACATCGAACTGGCAGATCTAGAATTCTTCCGCTCGAGAAAGGTCGACTTGGTCATGGGCATCCAAGCTTTCTTCAGCTTCTTCCCATCCGAAAGCGAGATTCCACTGGGAACCGGTCTGCCAGTACTCACCGAAACAGTTATCGGTTGGATAGTGACAGGCGAAGTTACTACATCAAGCCAAGTTACGAGATATGCTTGTAACATGTCAGTATTGAACGATCTGGAGAAGTCAATGGAACGGTTTGGTCTTGCAAGGAAGTGGGAGCCGTCAGCAAATACACGCCGGACGAGACACGCTGCGAGGAGCTATTCGAGCGTACAGTCGAACGGGATGGTCAGTAAACTGTAACTCTTTCCAAGCACAACGAAGTTCTTGCGAAACTGGGTGGATTGAGCTGCAACTGTGAAACGGCAAGGTATTCAATTGAACCTACCTGTAACGGTGGGTGAGGAATGGCTTAACACGATTGAATTCACGTTGCGAACAGGGTCGCCAAAATTCAAGCACTGACAGAGGGAAACGATTGAAGAATGATTTGGGAAGCACCAATCTTGCTGAACTAAGACATTGTCGAGAATGCCCATCGGCATACCTTGTTGGAGGATCCTCCCAAAGAAAGGCCAAAAGGTGTTGGAAATCCACCAGAAGAGGACAGGAGAGGCAACGCAATGTGGTGGTTTGCGCTTCGTCGAAATAATATGGGTACATTTCGGATTACTTAGCGAATTTATCTTACAAGGCTAATTCAAATGACTGTTTACCGACTACGCTGCACGACAACTTACGGTGTCCAGAAGACCAAGGATGGACATGTTTTCTTACCGCTTGGGATCTTAATCAAGCCGAATGGACGATCATAGTACAATTGGTATCATTCTTGAAGGAGATTGAACATATGCCTCGGATGCTCCTGTTCGTCGAAATTCTCGTTTGTAATGGTTCAATTCTCACATCGAGGAAAACGGAAGCTTGCGAGTTTTTGGAAGGCTAGCGCAATACGGGGAATCATAGCATACCAAACATCCCATGAATTTACCGATTAGACACGCCTTTACAGGACTGCTTCTTAGCTACTAACACCACAAGCATCATCACGCTGAACCACAATTATTTTGATTACGGTTCGGCAGTGGTATACGCCACTAGATGGTGGTAATCTTGCGCGAAAGGTTCGTCAGCGTTGTTTCCGATTGAAACCGTCAATGATTCATCAGAAAATGGGCGAGCTGCAAGTTTATAGGGCTATGGTTACGGTACCGTCTCAAAAACTGGCGTCGATTATTTCGGGCTGGAGTATATTCGAGCAGCACTAAGCAGATCTGATGACGGGACGATTACTCCTTGCTTTACGGAGGTTTTCTGCTCACCGAGAATGGAGTGCATACACTATTCGTATACGGGACCCATTTGTAGGAGCGAAGAATCAAACCCAGAAGCTGTTTCCGTTGCTGAAAGACAAAACACATTGTGAGAGGGTCTATAATGAGTGTGCAAGCAAAACAAGGAATATTCTGGCATTTAAACCTCACGAATGCCAACATTTCGGGGAATTGCGGGTGCGTTCAGCGAAGTACCACCTTCTACTAGTTCTCGGTGGAAATCCAGTATCTCAAAGAGTCTTAGTCATTCTGGTAGCACAAGTGGACGGATATATGAACTCGAGTCTTTTGAAGGCATTGTCGGACAATCCGTTGGAACTGGAGCCACTAACACCGGAAAAATTCCTGACGAAACATTCAATTCTTGCCATCCCGGATCCAGATTTGAGTGATCTCTAAATAAATCGTTTGTCTAAGTGGCGATTATTCCAGCTGCAGCTTCAGAATTTAAATAATAAAAAATAAAGGATTTTGTGGATAAGACGTGTTGTGTTCTGCATGCGAGAAAAAGGGATTGGCCTACGGATGACGAAGGATTTGGCTCGGGATTTGGTTAGAGCAAGGAAGGATACGGACTGGAAAGGAAAGTTCAAAGGCAAGTAGAAGTCACCATCAATCGGTCGGGACGGTCCCCGACACCTAAATTTGTTGCTATACCTATTGTTTAATTATATTGTAGTACTTTGACTATATGTTTAGTATTACTTCTGCGTGAAGTCAACGATTTACATAGTTGAAGATGCTAATTTCAAATAACAGACTAAAGTGGGAATTTTTATACGGAGATGAAAGTAAAGAGTTGATAGTTCCGTTAGAGTACGGCAGTATGACAATTGTATATAGAGAGTAGAAAGCGAGCAAGGACAACTTTAGGAAGGTACAAATCGGTTTGATCATCTCTCTTTACCAAACTCCCCCGTTGGAGAGGGATGGTGAGGGGTATGCCAGCGCTTTTCATGGAGGAATTTCTCTTTCTCCAGCGTTTTCTCCTGCAACTGGTCTAGGGATTCCTCCAGGCTGCCCTCATTGGTACTTCCTTTTTCAGATTAGGATCCGGCATCACTCCTCGCACTATTCTTGGTTTCTTTGGGACAGACTTGTTGGTTCCTTTTGGCACCTTCAGCATATTTGTGCACTTCGAGCACGTCTACGGAACCTCCTTTACAGCTGTTGTCTTACCAGCACAACTATGTATAATGGGTCCAGAAATTGCAGACATCACACTCGACCATATCATCGACGTGGTCATGGCCTTCACAAAGCGTACAGTTTCGATCGCTGTTCTGTTCTTCGCTCAAAGGTGGTGTTGAATCCTCTGACATTTTGAGGTTATATCCGATGTTGTTCTTCAAGAATGTTCGGATTAATGAAAGCAACTTCCTCAGAGCAGTCTCGTTTTGGTCTGCTTGAAGCTGAAAAAGGCTCTATTATAAGCATTAAGATTGGTTTAGACTTTACATTAGTTTAATAAAACCTATTTCAGCTTCAAGCTGTCCAAAACTAGACTTCTCTGAAGAATTTGCTTTCATTAATCCGTGCATACATATTTTTTTAAGTGCGCAAACTTGATTTTCTATGGATCACTTTCTTTCGTTTAAGGTTCACTGCTGAATGTGTTATGGATCAATTGCAATATTTTTATGGGTAATTCGTACAATTTAAATGCTCATTCTTTAGAAATTTAGCGGTACATTTTTACAATTGTGTTGCTAAATTTCACATAAAATGTGGATCATATTGATATTTTTATGGTTCATTTGGATGTTCTTATGGAACGTTTTCCATTACTTTATGGATCATTTATTGGTTTTTTATATTCAAAAGTATGTTTGCCATTTAATTTTAATATTTTGATATACCCTGGATAAATTATTGAATTCTCTGGAAGTCAACTTGTTCTAGATTCAAACTGTGTTTTGTTACTTCATACGTAAAGTTTCCGATTTTTTGAGTTTCTTTGGAAATGCCATACTAATATCAACATGAAGGCTTAGTGTGAAAAAATTTTAGCTAGAAAATGTTCTGAATAGAATCGGTTGATAGTTCCGGTAGATTACGGCAGTGTGAAAATTGAATAGAAGTTGAAGTTGAGCGAAGGGCCATTAATGCGACAGTACTATCCAAAAGTTCACTCCTTTACATAGCTCATACATTAATGGATGAGGAGACTTGAAGTTCTTCTTAAAATCCACAGGCAAAAGAGTGCACGTTTGACTCGCTCATATACTATAACTATTTCACTGCCGCACACAGACTTTGAGGAAGTGCAGGAACCTTCGTAGAAGTTCAGGAATTTCTGAAGTATTTTAAAAAACTTTGTTGAAAGAAACTGTCTAAGAGTGCAGTGAATTGTGCTAAGCTTAACATGTCCTATGTTATCAGCCTTATATTGCTTGTTGGTTACTTGGGTAACCAACACAATTTTTCCTTGTTTCAAGATCATCCTCGGTCCAAGCAACTATTAACAAGGCATAAAAGTTACAAAGACTAAGATGTGTTCCTTTGATCTCTGCAAAATTCTGTTTCCCTAGTTTTAAGTAGTCAGGACTTGGAATCGGTGGTATATCTTACATACGTTACGGGGCACATTGCACCACTATTGAATCCCAGAGGATGGAAATAGTAAACCTAGAATGTACTCTACAGCCTACCGCACTTCCACCCACAGCTCGATGCCAGCAGCACCCGGATGGTGCGGTAGTCGTGGCTTTTTCGCAAAGGCTTGTGTTCGATTGAAGCGGCAAGGGAACACACTTCCTTTTCGATTATACATGCCTTTTTACTTTTGCAAGACCATTTTGCAAACACGCCTGGTGAAGCATGAGAAATTCCACCTCACATTGCCATGGAGAAAACTTTCTGGAAATCCACCAAAGCAAGGGTGTTGAATCGAAAAACCATTGCTATCGAGTAGAACCTGAACTCCGATGGCAACGTACACAGTAAATTATGCTTCCCTGGTTCCGGTGGTAACGGCGGTGGGACCGAGGACAAGGAATTTGGCTTTCTATTCCTGCACACAAGTTTCCTGATCCTTGAATCGTACTTGGACCTGTGTCGAGGGAATACAAGCAGAAGAACAAGACACATTCCTGAGCATGAACATGGTAACATATCTGAACTGGAAGGAAAAGGCTTTCTTTTTGTATCGTCCCCTTCCTGTGTGCAAAGGTGTACCGGCGACGATGGTAGGGCAAACGGAAGCAATAAATGTGTTCGAATAGCAATTGGAAATTCATAAAGTTTAATGAAATTTTAATGCGTACATTCGAAGCAAATATTCTTCGTCGTGTGGTCCAGTTGGGTTCGAGCTCCAGTAGAAGAATCAATTGGATTAAATTTATAATTGACTACAATTACGCCCCGATTGGTATCGGCCAATTATGCATCCAAGCTGCCAGGAGGTATTAATTATGTTATGCTTGAAAGGCAATAAATTTGCGTCAAGCAGGGCCGGCGCAAAAGGATTTGTCGGTAGTTATGGAAAAATCAATGATCAACGGTTTGATTTTTTTTTATATCTTTATTAAGGATACTTTCAGCCCTGAGTGGCGCTGGTGATGTAGGGGTAAGCGTGATTGCCTCTCACCCCAGCAGGTCTGGGTTCAATCCCAGTCGGTGCCACCGGGATGTTCTGAGTTCTCTGATCACGCCTTCCGTCGGAAGGGAAGTAAAGCCGTTGGTCCCCGGTTCATGAGTTGATGGGTTTATAGGTAGGGTCCAGATGTGGGAGCTGCCTTCCTGGCGTCGGTAGCATTGGTGCTTAGCACGGAAAACAAGATCGATAGAAAACAAATAAAGGAAAAAAGGAGATTTTCAGCCCTGGGCTGGTTTGTCTCCGGCTCAACGGTTTGATTCACGAACAACCATCAGTTTCAGAGTCAACGCTACGATGTGAAGTTTTGTTCTGACAATTTTTTTTACATAAGGGATTAATTAAAAAAAATTGGAAGTACACAATT